AAGTCCTTTTATAAGCATTTGACCGAGACCATTGTATCCGTAATTTCCAAAGCCCTTTCATGAAATATTAGCAACAACTTAGCATAACCTTGCGAGATTTAGCATAACCCTACGAGATTCGTGGCACATCAAATGATAATCCCATATCCACTCAACGATCTCCGATGTCCAATTGCCCTAAGTCTTGAGGATTATGTTGAGTTCGTGCTTGGCACAACCCTTCTCCTAAAAACAGAATAGGCAACATCTCTACTTACATCTTGGGCTTGTAGCTCTATCTTAATTTTGGGCTGATAGCTTCACTTTAAGACCAAACAATTACATTTTTGTTAAAAAAATGGTTTGAATAAGAAATTTGATATATCATACAAGGTTTGAAAAAACACTATGATGTTTAAATAATGAATTTGATACATCATAAATGGATTAAACAAATGAATAAAATTAAAAGAATCTAACTTAAAATAAAATTTAATTGATAATTAAAAAAGCATATGCTTGGCTCATAGGTAAGCTCGTAATGGCTAATTTTCTTAGCTCAACCCACCTATTTTGATAGACTAGTGAGCTAATAACCTGCAAGTTCAGCTCATATTCTCAATTTTAATATGAATTGTTAGTTTTGTTTTTCTTGAAATAGGTTGTAATATAGGGTTGATATATTTGTCTGTTTACTTGGATAGATTGTATTGATAAGGTTTTGCTTTGGTTTTGGCTCTCTATACATTAGTGTGTACTTACTTTTTGAAAATTAATAAAATTGACTTTTTGGGCAAAAACAAAAAGTCACAACTAATTATATCAAACTCTCACCCAACAGTACTTTAAACCATGTAAGAAGAGAAATTTTTTTATGTTTTATAATATTTTATATTTTAATTATTAGTCAATAAAAATTATCATGTTTAGTCACAATGTCGATGACATAGTTTTGGGTAAAATAATATTAATTATTTAAAATACATATGAATGGACAGAAAAATCACTTTAGCGTCAAATGATGATGATGGAATAGTTTGTATAATGTTGGAGAGATTATATCATATTAAATAGGAAATTAAAAGTGGTCTTCTGAAGTTTGAAATGTTTTTAAAAACTGAATGAACATTCCTATGAATTTAAATACAAGCTTTTTTTTATCAGATAAGGAATTAAAAGTTGTCTTCAAATTGAAAACGCGCATGTTTGAAATTTGAAAAGTATGTCCAAGGATGAATATATTTAAGTTCTTACCAATAGGCATTGATTCTAATGAAAAAGCCCATGACCATTTAATTATGATATTCATGTTTGAGATTGTGTAAATGTGAAAAAAGTTTTTGAGAGAGCTACTTTCAATTAACCCCAACAATGTTCAAGCATGACTCAATCAGATAACCATATCAAAAACATATATATAAATCTTTTCTTGAAATTTATCAAAAACATATATTATCCTATTACTATATATTTGTCTGATAAATCGTCGTCGTCGTCGTTGTACTACACATGGCTCAACTTGAATAGGAAGAAAAACACAGAATTTTGGTTTGACAATGTGACGAAGCTAGATGAAGCGTACGTAACAAACAAAAAACTTTTTTCCCTTTTTTTGAGGTTAGACAAATAATTTGAATATCTCCATGCACAAGCAAAGGAAAAGCTTTTGGGGAGACAAAAGTAGCATAGTCTTATTGGGACAACTAAGCAATGTATTAAACTACGCAAAGACCAATAACATTAATGGATTCATAGGCTGTGTGTTGTGGGACATGAATGAAAAATAAGGATGCTTCATGATTATGGTTTATGTGCCACCCACTTCCAATTCTTTCTTGGATCATGCTAAGCACTATCCTTTCATTAATTATTTTGTGAAATTACGTATCCGACCCAAGATGTGTATAATTGTGTATCAAAGAATTTGGCAAAAAAATCAATGATCATGATCATCATCAAGTTTAATGAGGTTAATTAACAATTTATTGCCTTTGCTTAGGTTACAATTACACGTGATAGCATCACCTAGCCCATAGTTTAATGAGGTTTATTACTGCTTTATCAAACCTTCTTAAATCATGAAGATAGAATTAAGGAGGTTGAATTTAAAGGGAGGGATTAATCCCTCACAAATTAGCACACAAAAGATTTGTTAAGAGATGTGCTCAAATTTACTGAAACAGGATTGTTTCTAGCAAAAAAAAAAAAAAGTCATACACAATTAAAAAAAATGTGAAGATGGATTTTTGTTAAGTATGATATCCAATCCTATAAAAAAATAACTTTAATCTTCAAAATAATTATATTTTAGATATCTAGAATATTTAAATTAAAATTTAAAAAATGATATTTTTTGTGAAAAATTATACTCAATTAAGTAATAGTTCTAGAGAATTTTAAAAATTAAATTTGAAGTGAATTAAATTACAGTTTATACTCCGTAAAGTTACTATTAAATATTGTCAAAATTACAACTTTCCTGTTACAACAATATTTTAAGAAACATGAATAATAGTTTCAAACAAAAAAAAATACTTCTGATAATTTAAAAGAACACACGATATAATTTTTAAGATTATTTAACATTGTCATCATCTAATTACTAATACAAATCTTTGGGTGAAATTTTTTCCCCTAGTTTCTCCTCATGTTAGTTGCATACCTAAAAGTCTACCACTCCATTCTTATCTTTATCATCTTTATTTTTTTCCCAACTCCTCTCTCTACCATACTAAAGACATATTTATTCATCGAATTGTATAAAGTTGGAACTGTCTAAGGCCTATCATGTGATCCAACCTTTCCAAAAAGATCATGAGAAGACAAAAATTAAATAAAAAGAAAAAAATCAAGGCATTAAAATTGAATTTATGGTGAAGATTTTGCGTATAGACATGGTTTACTAATTCAAGTTAGGAACATAAATGCCTTAAGAAAATGAAAAATTCCCAAGTTCAAACTCGGTATAGACTATAGAGTGCCTACTATGATTTCATTCTAATTCAGGGGAAATACCATCTAAGATACCTATACTATTTTAATATCAAAGAATGACTCCTTAAGTTTTTTTTTTTTTGGGGGGGGGACATAATTATTCCAATAACGTTTTTATAGTCTTGCTTCAGTATAAATAATAATATTTTCAGCTATTAAGAATTTACATACTTGATTAACAAGTGAATGTTTATTCATAAATATGTTATAAAAACTTATAAGCCTGGTTTATTATTTATAATTCTTATAATAACTTGTCAATGGTCGAATACTTTATTGTTTATATGGGAGTAAGACTTGTAAAATTAAATTAAGCCAATTAATTTTTGTAATTTATTCATGAACGATTGTCTACTTATTAATTACATGTGGTAACTTGTTAATAACCAAATGTTTTGTTATTTATACCAAAGAAGCAAGACTTGTAATGTTAAACCAAACCTATCAAATTTTGCAAATTGCTCATGAACAAATGTCTGTTTATTAATTATGTATAGTAACTTCTCAATAGCATCGGCAAAAGAAAAAAAAAACTTGTCGATAGCAAATGTTTTGTTGTTTATACTAGAGTAAAACTTGTAAAACACTACAAGGATAATTAAATCTTTTTTCCCAAAATTTTATTTTTAGATAGGCCCTCAGGTTGCATTGATATTTCATATTTTTAGAATCTTTCTTTGATATTAAAAGTTAAAACACTGCAAGGGCCTGTAGATAATATTTTCCCTCTAATTTATTCCATCATATATAAATATAGGATATTTTTTAAAAAAATTGCTTAATTTTAAATATAAGACATTAAATATTTTTATAATTTTTTCAATTACACACTTATTTTATTTATTAATTATTTTTTAAAAATTGCTCAATTGAAATTTCAATTATTATTAAAGCAGCTATATAAAGTATTTAATTTAATGAGAATACAATTAAAAATATAGACAAATCAATATCTAGATGATAAAATATTTAGATTATTTGATTTTTAGAGCTATAAAGTATTACTATTTATCAATATCTTATACTTTTTACCTTTTCTGTTATAAAATATTTTTAACTATTTTTAAATAATCAAAAAATAATAATTATTAATTCATTAAATATGTCTTAAAATAAAAAAATTCTAATACTCCTATTAAAAATAAAAAAATAAAAACATAAAATATACAATAAGTTATAAAGTTAAACTTATGATAAGAATAAAATTAAAAAATAATAATAAATGACTTTTTATAAATATTATATTAAATATCAAATAATACTTTTACTCTAAAATAAAGAGCAGAAGGTGTCATCATTTATCAATAGGGGGAAGTTATTCTAATGAGATTTGAAAATTAATAGCAATTAATATTTAAATGAATCTGAAAGGACATTGATTTTGCTCCATTAACGTCGTGTCAACTTTAGAAACCTCCAATGGCATTTCAAATCAAACATTTCCTATACAATCCCATTTACGAAAACCACCTTATTTGTAAGAAAAAATGATAATTAAGTCTTCAAACATCAAATTGATGACAATTAAGCTCTAAATAAAATTTTATAAAAAATAATTTAAAAATATTAAATTATACATTTGCAAATTTAGCGATTTTCATTGTAGATAAAACATATTACAATTAAAGTTTTTATTGTAATTATGTTTGTTGTTCAACACAAACAAATTGTATAAACAAAAATATTTAACTTAATTTTTTAAAAAATTTTCCATGACTTACATTAATTTAATCTTTGAAACTTATCTTTTAATCCCCTTATTTCTAACCATAGCTCACCTTCCCAAAATTTTTTTATTAATTTTATTTTTTTAAAAAAATAAAAATTAAAGTCCATTCATGTCATCCACTACGCGAAGGGCCAAAGAGGCAAATTATATGCACCCCTTTCAGTTCCAGCTGTGACCAAATCATTCTTGTCTCTTAGTGTGTCCCACGTGGCCGCCTACACTTAAATCATAACTAACCATAGTTAAAAGTTAACTTAACCCAACATTCATCTTTAACTGTCAAATCCACCACTTCGCACTCTTCACACTCCACTACTCGCAGCTTTCCAGCATCTTCTTCTTGCTTTTCCGTTTTTCATCCATGGCTTCGTTTCGGGCTTCGTTCCTTTTTCTCTCTCTCATCACTCTCACTGTAGCCGCCGTTGTCTCCGGTCACAATATCACCGACATTCTCGCCGGCTTCCCAGAATACAGCCAATTCAACAGCTTCCTGTCCCAAACGAAGCTCGCCGACGAGATAAACAGCCGCCAAACAATCACTGTTCTGGTACTGAATAACGGCGCGTTCTCTTCACTCGCGTCCGGCCATCCCCTTTCCGTTATGAAGAAAGCCCTTAGCCTCCATGTCCTCTTGGACTACTACGACGGTCAGAAGCTTCACAAGATCTCTAATGGCACTACTCTCACCACCACGCTGTACCAGACCACCGGAAATGCCCCTGGAAATTTAGGCTTTGTCAATATCACTGACCTTAAAGGCGGAAAAGTCGGCTTCGGCTCGGCGGCTCCCGGATCCAAGCTCGACTCGTCTTACACCAAGTCAGTTAAGCAAATACCGTACAATATATCCGTGCTTGAGATCAGCGCGCCGATTATTGCGCCGGGGATATTGACGGCTCCACCTCCGTCTGCTGATGTTAACATAACGGCGTTAATTGAGAAGGCCGGAGGCAAGACGTTCGCCTCGTTGCTTGTTTCTAGCGGCGTGATTAAGACTTACGAATCCGCCGTTGAAAAGGGTTTGACTATATTTGCGCCGTCCGATGAGGCTTTCAAGGCTCGTGGGGTTCCTGATCTGAACAAGCTCACCAGTGCTGAGGTGGTCTCGCTCTTATTGTATCACGCCGCGTCGAAGTACCTTCCCGTGGGGGCTTTGAAGACCAGCAAAGATCCAATTAGCACATTGGCGACAAACGGCGCCGGGAAGTATGAGTTCTCGGCGACCGCCGCAGGCGATGCGGTTACTCTACATACCGGGGTTGGCCCCTCCAGAGTCGCCAGTACGGTACTGGACTCCACTCCTCTTGCTATTTTCACTGTCGATAGCGTGCTTCTTCCGACCGAGTTATTTGGTAAATCGCCGTCGCCGGCACCTGCGCCGGAACCAGTGACCTCTCCAACTCCAGCCCCGGCATTAGCACCGAAAGCCAAGTCGCCTGCTCCGGCTGCTGCTTCACCACCGGCTCCTGTGGGAGATACTCCGGCTGAATCTCCAGCTGAATCTCCGTCGTCGGAAGCGGACCGTGGCACTTCGGAAAAGAATGCTGGTGCTCACATGGAGGCTTCTGCTGTCTTCGCCGTTTTTGTCGTCGTGATATCCTCCGTTGTCTTATCCTGAATTGTAATTTGACTGAGACCTCGTGTGGTATTTTTTCTTTTTAATTTAAGACTTTTGAGTTGGTTTTAATTTTAATTTTATTTTAATGGTCCTTTATCATAATTTTTTAATTTAATTTTTAAATTAATAATTTATGGATGTGAATTATTGTGAATGTAATACAATGTGAATTGCCATACCTTTATTGTTTTCATTTTAAAAAACATGTCGGTGAGATGTTGTTGGAAGTTTGATAATTTTTAATGCTTAAAAAATATATTTTACCATTTTGTGATTTCGAAAATGTGTGAGGGAGCTTGAGTGAGCCCTCGTGGAGCAATCCAAGTGGGTCCTACGTGTTTCAAATTGGCGAGCCGTTGCTAACGTCTCTTCCAGAACCGTCTCAGATATGCTTTTGTGCGGCGAACGGTTTCAGTTGCGCCTTCCAATTCGAATCATCATTTTTTGGGAAAATTAAAAAAAATCAAAAAATATAATAAATTTTTTTTTGAAATTACGTAAATGATATTTTTATTTTTTAAAATGTCATAATATAAATGAAATTTTTAAAAATTTATTTATCAATAATTTTTTTTCAAGGGAAAGATTATTTTACTCTTATTAAAATTAATAAAATTTAATCATAATTTTTATTTAAAGAATTATAACTTTTATTTTGTAAATTATTAAAAATTATAATTTATAAAAATGTAACTTTTGTTATTAAAAAATAAATTCTAATTACAACTTTTATTTAAAAAATAATAATTTTTGTTTTGTGAATCGTAAGAATTAAATAAAAAATTATAATTTATTAAATATAATTTTTATTGTTAAAAATAAATTTTTAAAATAATAAAATTTATTTATAATTTTATTTAAAAAATTATAACTTTTTTTAAAGAATTATAAAAATTAATTATGAGATTATAATTTATTAATAAAGATAAAATGATCTTTCTTATTATTGACAAATAAATCTTCAGGATTTTATTTGTATTATGACATTTTAAGTAATCAAATTATTATTTATATAATTTAGAAGAATGTTATTGTCATTTTCCTAAATTTTTAAATTATTTGTTTCATTCAAATTAAAAAATCTATATTATACACACACACTATATGAGTATATGTTTTCGAATATTCGTTCTTAAAATCTCTTTTTGATTCATTTGGATGCATATCCCATATTTCTTTTACAATATGAAATTAATTTTTAATAAAATATAATTTTTTATATATTTAAATATTACTTTTACATGTTTAAATATTTTTTATTAAAATTCTTAATGAATACCTTTGATGCATATATGATGTTTTTTTCACTACATGTGATTGATCTTCAATAAAATATAATTTTTTTCTGTATATTTAAATATCACAAACACATATTTGAATAAATGAAATAAAAATAAAATTTTTTAAGGGTGGTCGCATATTATGAAAGAAGAGTTACATGTAGTTGAAGATATCGGCATATGGTCCTAAAATATGACATTAAGTGTAAATTTTGAAAATATTTAAAATAGTTATTCAAATAAATAGAAACTAAATTGCATTTTTAAAATATCTAAAATATATATTCAAACATAGTTTTGAACTTTGGATTTGAATATTATACTATTGTTATGGTTTCACAATGTTACAAATATATATTCTGAACATTTTTTTTATTTTTTATGAAAATATCAAAGGATATTTTTCTGATAGTGTTTGAAAGACCAGTGAAATAATTAATGGAAATGTAAAGGGAAGTTAAGCAAAATTCAACTCAACGATAAGACTTTCATAGAAACGATGAAGAAGATTGTTGTGAGATTCACTAATTGGATTCATCTTTAATGATAAGAAGATTTTTAAAAAGACATGATCTTGGGAATAAAAGACAAGAATCATTCCGGGATCAACACTCGATAGTAAAAATCCTAAATGTTATTGGGGAAGGAGGAGGGATGAGAGATGAACTTGAAAAGCACGAGAGAGACAATATATGAGCCCTAGGTTCAAATCAAGAAAGAAGATTGTCCTTCTTTACTCACTTTCTCTTGCATTGTCTTCAAACCAAGACCTTGACACTTGCCGCTATCATTACTACCGCCATCACTGTGAGACTCACAACCACTTGTCACCACCTTAAGAATCAATAGTTGTTACCCAGAACAATGTCAATGTCACTGTCAAAAATTGCAGAGGAGTGGGAGAAAAGGTAGAGGGAGAGTATTTGGTGGGTCAAATCTTGTCATTTTCATCTTCCAATTGATGACACTGAAAGACCTCATCTGAGAAATTTTTTCAAGTCATTTTAAGCAAATAAATATCTAATGATGTCTTTTTTAACAAATTTTTTTAATACTTTTTCTATTTAAAAATATAAGATATTTTTTAAGTAGTTAGGTGTTCAAAAATAAAAATTTTTTAATCTTTTAAGGTATAATCATTATTTTCTTTTTAAAAATATTTTTATTAATAATGACTTTATATTTACTGTTAGGTGTTTAATAGAGATAAATATAGAAAGATAAAATTAGTTGAAAAGTCAATAACTATTTTATTGGAGGTAAGATTTGGTTAAAAATGCCTTACATTTTTAAACGGAAAGAATATAATTTAGTTTTTATAATTTTTAATTAAATAAATTATAAGAACTGATTTGTATGTAGTCAAAATTTAAGCACCAAAAAATGAATTTTACCCGTAGCATTTATGCCCTAGTCCAGTTGTTTTTGCTATTTTCAGTTGGTTATGAGATCTAGTTGACAAGCATGTTCAAATCAATTATCTTTCAATTTTTTTTTTCAACTTATGACTAGAAGGTGGCAAAAAAAAAAAAAAGCTTATGACTAAAAATTATACAATCAAACTGGTAGTTTTTGTCCAACAAAAAACTGATAATTTGCATGGATTCTAAAATAAAATGCAATGAAAAAAAATAGAGTGAAAAATGATGTTTTATGAGAAAAATTGTCTCTTAAATAAATTCATAATAAAAATTAGTTTTATTGTTTTTCATGACAATGAGGAACTATAAAGGGAGGTTGGCAGCCTCTCCTCAATGTGAGCATTGATTTAAAAGAAAATATTTTTTTCACAAAAAAAAAGAAAAAGAAAAATGAAGATTGATATTTAGGTCCCAAAATGTTAAATTAATAATATTAGGTTATCAACAAAATATTTTAAAAATTAAGTAATAAATATTAACTCAAACAACTACAAATATAAATTCTTGTATTTAAATTGAAACTTTAGAATTTGTAACCATCTAGATTAATATTTTAACTTATTTTTAAAAAAAACTTGTTGGAGACTATTATTAATTTAATATTATGGTACCTAACTGTCATTATTTCAAAAAAAAAAATCTCTATTGATTAGACTTGTAGAGATCTTACTTATTTTTATGGGAAAAATTATAATTAGGTCTCAATAAAATAAATTAATCTTTCAGTTCATCTATATGTCAATTTCAAAATTTATATATCAATTTTGGGAAAATAAAACTTTTTTAATCCCTCAAATTTACCTTATTTATTGATTTGATCTTTCAAGTTTAATTTAATTGATTTATTTTCTTATATTTTCCTAAATTATCATGCTATTCATTTGAGTTTTTAAAACACAAATTTACTTTCAAATTAATCTAATGTATGAAGTATTTTGATAACTTTGAATGCCTTTTTTTTTTTGGGATTGCTCATATATTCTTCTATTGAAAGCAATCTTATTTGAAGTACGGTCGGACATTAAATATGAGCAACCTTTCTTATGAAGATTTAAACCTTCGTTGCAAGGCTAATTTTGGAGGAGGAAAAGAGTTGACCCTGTTGAAATTAACATGCTGGTGGATTATTCCTTGAATGAGTATGCTAGCTTGGGAGTTGATTGCCAGTAGAGAACGTGTTCATAGAAGTGTAAAGCAACAAATGACTTGGAAACTACCTTATAAAGGAGAAGTGAAGATTAATGTAGAGGTTTAATAGTAAGAATGAAATTGGAGGTATTAGTGTGATTTGTCTTGATGATATGGGGAATTTTTTAAAAGGTACTTGTGAGAAAGTTATTTTGGTACTTCTATTTTAATGGTTGAGGCTCTAGCTTTTTAAACGGGCTTTGGATTTAATTGTTAATTTGGGAATGTTTGTGTGTGTGTGGAAGGGTGATTGTAAAATTTTGTTTAGAGTTGTAGAATGTAGGAATTTTCAAAGTTGTAAATGGACATATTTAGGTATTATCCAGGATATAAGAAGCTTACTCTCCTTAATAAAGAATTGTTGTCTCTTTCTTATTCAAAGAGATTGCAAAAAGGCTATGGATTTCTTTGCAGTTGAGGCTAAAAAGATGATAGATCCTCTTGGTGTGTGCTGTTGCTTCCATTTTTCTTGGCTTATTTATTGTTTCTTGATAGAGGAAGGGCTTTTGATCTCTTTGATTAGCCTTTTAATAATTGTTTTACTCATACTGATATTGGTTGAATTGTTTTGACTGTTCTATTTTTTTTCCTTTTCTTTGATTATTGTGTGTTAGTTTGTATTTTAGGTTTTTGTAAGTGTTTTTTTTTAGGCATCGGCTATTAGCAAGTGTGACTGTTTTTTTATAATAAATTGGTTTATTTTTGGCAAAAAGAAAAACCTTAGTTGGATGTGCTTTGAGGAATTAGCCCCTTTTATTAGGCCTAACCCCCTTTAGTTAGCATGCATATGTAGTTAAATAAAAAAATTAGTCCTCAAATTAGTTTATTTTTTATCAATCTAATTATAGTTGTGTTTGTTCTTTTACTTTTAAAATTTTTGAGTTTGCTTTTTTTCCTCTAACCAATAATCACACTTCTTTTTTGTTAATTTATATAAATTGTAGTTGTCATTAATATTCTATTATATGTTTCAGCAGATTTTATCAATGTTTATTTTTATTGAAATAATAAATATCAAATCAATAATCAAGAAAAAATTAATGGATCAAACTGAAATTGAGACAAATTTAAAGGACTAAATTCTTAATTAATAAAAATTAAATTTGAGGATCTAAATTGATAATAGAGACAAACTTAAAAAATTAAAAGTTTTATTATCCTTTCAATTTCAATATTTATAGGAAGATGAGATCTATCGATATTTAATTTTTTTATATGAGATTATATGTAATTTTTTTTATATATAATTGATATTGTGATCTTTTCACTTACAGAAGAAAATTCACTTCCACTTTTTTTTTTTGGCTTAATTTTCACTGGTCATCCTTTACTTTGTAAAAACGTGATGGATTTGAACAAACAGAACATGGAGTGTCCGTCCCTCAGTTTGTTTGCCCCTTTTTTTAAGGGTTTGTTTTCTTTGTATTATTCCCCCAAAAAAAAAAATGTTGTGAGCATGAATATAATTGTCATATTACAAAGCAAACCAAGCCACGAAACATATTTTTGATCTACAAAAATCATATCGGTTAATTACGCTCACTAACCTGTTAGAAGGGCTATTTATATGGTTATCATAATCAAGATTTTAGTAAAAAAACACATAAATATATTCAGGAGATATGATATAATCCTTCAAATCAAAGAATATTATCATTCATCATGAAAAATATATATTTAGATTATTTGCAATGTGGAAAATCATCAAAACCAGATATCTTCTTTATGTAGTTTACTAAATGGATAATAATCTTTTTTAAAAGATGTACTTTTTTTTATAAATTGAAATATAGTTAAAACATAAGGAGAAATATTAAATGAACAAAAACCAGATTGATCTAATTAAAATATAAGGGAAATATTAAATGAACAAGAATAAAATTGCAACACTGAAACTATAAAAGAAATTGAAATATTGAGAAAGAAAGATTGTATGAAGCCGTTAAAAAGTTACATTATTTAAATGCTGTGAATAATGCAATTAAATATATTATTTTATATTAAATTCAAAAGTTAAATATTGGGCAATAAAAAAATTTGGGAAAAATAACCATTTTGCATAAGGTCAAAAGTTTACTGGTGAAAAAAAATCTTACTGAAAGAGTTATTTTCAACCAAGCCTTAACAATATTAAATTTAATTCAATTTATCAATGTTAGAGCCAATAATTTGATCAATCTCAATGAATTATCTCAAAAAGTCTAAAAATTATAAAATTAAGCTTAATAAAGTAATGTTTTTTAATGTTGGTAGCTCAAATAGGCATGAATACTTGAATAAAAAATATTACATTTTAAAAATATATTAAATATTAATTAATTTTTAAAATTTTAGACCATTTTATACTTATAATATATATAATAATAGATATTTTATAAAAAAAATATATTGTCATATTTTTTATTTAAATCCATAAAATACCTCAAACTAATATTTAAATGTATTTTCTTATTATTTTTAAATTTTAATGCTTACATATTTTTTTAAAAAAAGTTTGAGCCTTCTACATTATTAAAGTGTTCAAAAAATATGTTTCATATTTTTTATAAAATATAAATAATTAATTTAAAATAAAAAAAATTAAATTCTAGAATGATGTCTAAGTACTTAGACTGTATCATCAATCAATATTTAATTTACACTGGAATTACTTGGGCTTGAGGGACCTAAGAGTGGGCTCCCAACGTTCTCGCTTATTGGAGGCACAAGCTAATATGGGTCCCTTAAAATGGTTCCAAGAGCTTCGTTTATATTTTGTCCCCTGAACATCCAGCTCGTCATTAATGCTGCCCTTTGATGTAGGAAAAAGTTGGGAGGGGAAAAAAAAACAAAAAAGATAAAAAAATGGAAAGTAAAGAAAACAGCGGGCCTATTTAAAAAACCTGTTATGAGAATAATTTTTTATTTTTTAAAACAAGAAAATAAAAAAATTTATTTAATAATGTGTTTTTAAAAAAAGTGTTTTGGAGAATAAAAAAAATAAACTATTGTTCTGGAGAATAGAAAAATGGAAACAACTTTTAAATGTCTGTAATTATTATTCTAGAGAACAAGAAAAAAATAAAAAAATACTTATTTTATTATTTTTTGTTCTCAAAATATATTTTACAAAATACCAGTTCTAAAATAATAAAATAAAAATAATTTTAAACAATCCCATAGTTACAAGTATAAATTGGTCCAAATAATCTATACAAAGATAAAAATGAACTTTTTTCGGATTGAATTTGATAGCTCGTGAACCAAATCGACTGACTTTAGTAGTTTGGGATTGACTTTTTAAATCATATTATTTATAAAAATTAAAAAATAAAAAATGGAGAACAAAGTTTTGAAAGGGAAATTCAGTGGTCTTGCCTATTGTTTTTCTCTCTCCATTCCTTCTTCCCTTTTTTTTTTCTTTCCTTCTCATACGGGAGAAAAGTTTTTCTCTTGTTTTCTTCCCCAGTTTTCTTTCTTTTTTACCTTTCCCTATCCAAACAAAGCTTACATTTTAAAATCACTACCATTGGTGCTTTTGAATTATTTTAATTGTTTATAAGTATTTTCATGTTTTTTTTTTTGTTAAGATATAACAAGTATGTTCTGGTTGAAAGCATTTCTCCACAAAATTTAGTTGGCAAGCCCAAATATCTTATATGACTTGAGGCCCATAAACATTATTTATACTTTTAGAGAGCCAACTCTAATCAAGTCTTAGGATGGAGCCTACAAATCCATATTTATTTGATTTTTTTTTAAAATATAAAATTTATAAACACATGATATATAAATTATAATTATAATATCTCTATAGCCCAAGAAAATTACTTCATTTTATCATCAGTATTTTTAATATAACACTTCTGTTATCATTAATAAAAATTTTAAGATAACATGATAAACTATCAAGCAATCATCAGTATTTAAAGTCGAGAATATAGGTCGGATTATATGAGTTGACTCTAATAATTGGTCACAAGAGTTGAGTTAGGTTTGAAAAAAATTGATCCAAATAAAAATAAATTTTTCTAACTCAGGCCATATAACCTGTAAATCATATAGGTTAATCCTGATGGGTTAGGATTAGATCATTTAATTCATATTATTTTTAAAAAATTAAAAAAAGAAAAAAGGAGAGAAAATTTTATAAATATAAATCATATTAGACATGACTTATTTAACTGTATTAATTTATATATTTGAACAAATATTATAAATTAATATTTTGATATATTTAGAATGAATCATAAAAAATATCAAATTGAAACTTATAATTTAAGTATATATATTTTTAAAAATCATAAAAATAAATTTAAAAATAAATAAATGAGTGGTAAGTTGGACTCATTTAACTCACAATCCTAGGAGAGTTGGATTGGGTTAATTTTTTTTAACTTATATAAAAATAGATTGAACTCAATTTAATCTATATGAGCCAACCCATATAGACCTGGTTGGCCCCATATTTCCACATCTATCAATATCAATAAAAAATTAACAATTTTTTTATAAGATTTTATAATAAGAAGCACATTAAAAATATTAGGGATTTTTTTAAAATTGTAAGAAGTGTAAAATTTGTCAAATTAAATACAATTATAAAATTAAATTTCAAATCTTAAATTATGATTGTAATTTTATAATTGCCCAGAAAACTGCCAGGCTTACGAGAGAAGCTAGAGGCTGACATTGACTACTTCAGTTCGCCCCAAATCTGGTGCTTAGGGTTTCAAAATCCCCGCCAACTCTCTCTCTCTCTCTCTACAATGACGGTAGAGGACCAGAGCTCGGTAACCCCTGCACCAGTTCCAACACGCGGCGTCAAAGTCGCTGAGACTGGCTCCTGCCACCCTCCAACGGCGCCGTCACCTGGTAATCCAAACCCTACTGACACTTCTCCGCCGAAGCCATCCAGCCCCAGAGATTTCATCGTTTCTGTTGCCTCCAATATCGCTTCCCAGTCTCTACAGAACTTCGATCCTGGCGTTTGGGGCGTCCTTACTGCTATTTCTAACAATGCTCGTAAAAGGCAACAGGTTGTACGACCCCATTACTCTTACTCGCACCAGCTTCTCATTCTGGTTAATCGTTTATTCTTTATTCAACATATTTTAATTTTTAATTTGGCTGTTCTAAAAGGTTCTGTATTTTCGTTGGACTTGTGGAAGGTTGCAGTAAAGTTTTCATGATCATATTAGCCTGCCATAATGGAGATTATATTGTGTTTTGTAATTGTGAAGTTGGCCATTCGTTTTTTTTTTTTTTTTACTCTCGTGTCAATCAGAATGGTCAAGTGATTTTTGAAGAAAGAAAGAAGGTTCGTCTTTGTGGGTCTTCTCAAGAGCTTACATATACAGTAAATGCAAGTGAGAAGTAGATTTCTCATTTGGTCTGTTTGCTTCGAGGGAGGGGAGATTCGATATAAAATAATTGAGAATTGGAATTGAAAATTGTTAATTGATTTTCCTTAGTCTTTTCCTTTCATTATCTCTAAAAATTATATAACCCCATTAGTCCATTTTTTTAAAATTAAATTCATTAAAATTTTTCCTCCATTTCCCTCCATAAGCTTTTCCTTGAAAAGATGAATAGGTGGAAGTAAAACTCACTGAACCCATTAGGAGGTTGTCATATTTGAAGTATTTCCGTAAATGTTTAAAAGTTGTACAAGCTTTGAATGTCATTAACATCTTGATTCAACTGTGCTATATTGTGAGACAAAATGTCTCTGAGCTTCACGAACAAAGTGTTTTTAGGGTCTTAACCCTGGCGTTTTGAGTTCGTGCTTCTGTCCGTTTAGCCTATAGTTTTATGCTTAGTTTTTATTGCTCAATATTTACTATTTCTTTTTGTCATTTTATCTATTCTTGCGATTTTAAATGAAAGTCTGTAAGCAGGGTATAATATATTATTAACTGCCAATGAGCACTGTATTGGGCGTTTGGTAGAGGACGTGCGTTTTCAGATTGATTCGACTGCTGTTAGTGCTAAACATTGCTTATATACAGAACAGAAGGCACTAATGAAAAAATGGAGAGCATGACATCAATTTGGTTGAAAGATACGAGGTGGTTTTAATATCCTGCCTCCCCTCCCCTTTGTAACCAAAAGGAAGAACATGTTTTTCTTTCTTCTTATATTTTGATTCTTGCAAAGCCTTGTTCAGCACAAATGGAACTTATCTCAACTGGGAGAGGCTTAAAAAGAATAGTACTGCTGTCAAAGTCTGTCATGGAGATATCATATCATTCGCTGCTCCTCCTCAGCATGGTACCAAGAATTCCTTCCATTGGATTGATATTTCCATTTTTTTAACCTATTAGTCTTCCAATATTCTCAGTGTTTGTAACTTCTATTTTTGGCTATTTTTTGTTTTTGCATGCTGGCCCACTGCTTTTAGTATATTCAATGTTTTAGTTTCCTTTAATTATAAATTATTTCCTGAAAAAAATATTTATTAGCCTTTGGATTTAAGATCTTGTTCTTTGTTTCTCTATTTCACCTGTTAATGCAATTTTCTTGTTACATGTTGAGAAATATCTGCTTGTAGAAATTTGTTGCCTTTGGTGGTCTGCCTTTATTTATTTGTCTATTATTTTTTTGGTGAGGCATAGAGAGTATAGTCTTCCTTTGGTCTGTATATTAGCGAGACTTTGGGCGGTGTGTGTGTTCTCTTTCTTAATTATTGAAGGTTCTGTTTTATCATGCAGAAATTGCATTTGCTTTTGTATTTCGAGAGGTGCTCAAGTCTGCTGCTTGGCTGGATAACGGGGCTGCTAAAAGAAAAGCAGGTAATGTCATGCTCTGGGGCACAAATATTCATTCAATTCATTCTTGCATTTTTCTTTGCACTATGCTTCAAGATCAGTGCTGGCTCTTTGTTGGATATCTGATCAGATGTCAGGTAAGGCAAAAGAAAATGGAGAATAATCTTTGCTAGTAATTTTTCGAAAGAATTCCAATTACATATTTATAATTCAAGATATTTTAAACCAGGACTACCTATTCATGAACTAAGGCCACACATAACTTTCAATTACTAGACACATGGCTGATAAATTAACTGACACGTGCTTAACGCCAGACTCATACACTAACTCCTTGAATTAAGCATAATGGCATATATGCTTCAATCACGCCAGAAGTGTGTGTAACGAAGTTAACCTCTTAAACAGGGATGGATCCAGGGGGAAAATTTTCAGGGAGGGGAGCATGTGGAAAAAATTATAATTATTCATAATTATTAAAAATATTATTTTAAATGTTTATTGCATCAATATAATAATATACAACAACAAGTCTTATCTCACTAGGTGGGTTGGGCTATGTGGATTATATGACACTATTGTATTTATCATTAACTAAGCTTTTAATTTACAAAAATTGTAGAATAATATCCCATCATGCAACATCTATCAAATATGCATATATATACATAATATTCTCTTTATATAAAGGAGATGTGAAAAAACGTTGGAAAAACCTTTTTTTTTTTCCACAGAAAATTTTCAGGCTTGCTACAAGTTATATTGACTTAGCTTATAGGTTGGTCAAGGCTCAAATTTGGATCATGACACATATAATAATAATAATAAAAAATTAATCCATTTCTTAATCTTCGTGTGACACATGGACTAACATGAGTTTTAATAACACATTAGAAAATTATAATAACATCATAATGAATATTATCTATCTTAATGTAAAAGTGCTGTATGTTAGCAGCGATATGATATTGTTTGGGATTACCATGTTACAAACAAAAAAATATTTGGCACTAAGATTATATTCGTTGGTTTAAAATTCT